GTTTCTTTAATAACAGAAGAAAGTGTGTCATCATTTAACTGTTTTTAAAAAAAAATCGACCGCAAAGTTTCGACATAATCAAAAATAGTTTATTAAGGTAATATCAGGACAGGTTCTAATCTAACTCGTCACTGTCAAGTTGTCGTCTGAACAACTGCAACTTTAGATCAAGTAGCTCTTCCTTCTTTTTTAGAATTCTCATTTTAACTTCATGCTCTTCTTTTAAATGCTGTTCTAATACCTTTTCAATGTTCACTTCTCTGTTTCCTTGTTCCCTAACAGTGTCGGAATTACAGTTTGGTTCTTTTGTTTGTTCTTCCCTTAAACGGCTTTCTTCTTGCTCGTCCTCTGAAGTTTTCTTGCCACTTTCCAATTCACCCATCCTATCTGGGCCCACTAGAATGTACGATGAAGCTGACGGTCGGCTGTCTTTCTCACTGGCGCCATTTGAAGCATCAAGTGTGTGTTCCCCGGCTTGAATATTATCCCCAGAGTCTATTCCACCAACTATAGATACGAGGGAGGGATTTTCTTTTCCGAGTATCTCGGTGATGAGCTTGTCTACGTCAGTCCATTCTATTGCACCACCCCCAGTCTTCTTTCGTTTGGCGTATTTGGCTTTACTGGCTGACGACAAGTTCTCCCATTTCTTTTTAAGTTGTTCCTTGGTTCTTGGTGGGAACCCGGCGGCTACTAACTGATTACGAACCTCCAACCATGTTTGTATTTTCAATTTAGATGTCAGTGTAGGAGATAAAGTGCCGAATAGAATCATCTTTCTCTTTTTTACCTCATGGAGAAAAAATTTGACCTCATCCGTCTTAAAATTCGGTGCTCGTTTTTTGGGGTAAGAGCCTTGTTCATCGGCAGAATTCCGTTTCATTGACATCTTAGAGAGTTGTGCGCTAATCAGCTGTGGGAATTGTGAATTTATTGCAAGATTTAACAATAGTCTAGTCAAAATGGTTGCAAATTATTAAAAGCGGCTTCTCCTGAAATAAATAGGAGCAACAATGCTGTTTGTCCGGATTCTCTTTGACTACTCCGACGAATTCCGACGATGTTGTAGCAAAATGGCCCGGATCAGTGCATGACTCGAGGATTCTCAAGAATTGAAAATTATGTGCGAAATTTAGGGAAGGAGAATTACCTTCTTTACCTAATGGCGATTCAAGGCAGGGAAATGCTGCGAAGTAATTGTTGTGTGTTGTATGTTGCACAATTTTTGTAGAAATGTTTTTCTAAACGATGATGAAGAAGAAGCTACGGGCGACAGCAGTAATGCTGACGAAGTGTACCAAGACGACATCAATGAAACTGAAGAGGGTCGACAAAAACGCGATGAATTTGTACGTTCGTGTTTTACATAAACGTTATATCCCATTGAAGCTGATGACAGTTTTTAAATATTTTCAGAAGGTTGACATTTTAATATCCTACGAGTGCAACTCATCAAGTCCGTTGACTTTCGTTGAAATACGTTTGCATGCCATCGTTATTTTACAGGAATATTTACTGATAATGTTTGTTGCATGTTCTACTTTTTTTGTCAAGGACGGCTTTAAATAAAGTGAACATCAGAGGTTAACAAAGCGCATTAGAACGGAATTACTTAAATAAAAAACTTTTTTTTCACTTCTCAGTAAAAGATC